ATATTTACAGATTTTCTCAAGGAGATGAAAAAGTAATCACCCTACTCCAATGAATGGAAGCTACACTTTTTTCAAATGGTGATCTGTCAATTTACATTTTGAATCCAAAGTTCAGAGTAAAAATTACACTACATAATGTTGAAAATTTAAATTTTTAGTGGTCCGGTTTAGGTCGTACATCTGGCCGAATAATTCAAATTGTTTTTAACACCCTAATATTTTCAACTTAGTCATAAAAAAGAAACATTTTTACGAGAATTAATCAATTTTTATCACACATGTTTATTCTTAAACCAATTTTGAATTTCAATGTGAATTTGGTAAGAAGAATGCTTTTAATTTTTTCACAGTTATAAACACTTTTTGCAAAAATTTTATTCAGTTTGAAATAATTTTCTCCTATATTTCTGATTCGAAATAAAATATTAGTTTTTTGTTAAACAGTTGGGATAAGGGTATACTATTACAAAATTAAGTTTTTTTCTGGCTAGGTATTTTCAAAAATCGACCACGGTGCCACCTAGAAGTAATAACCCTTACAGTGCTTCTGGAGAGTATGACTTAAGCGGAGAACAAATAATTCATTATGGTAACCCGTACTGGATTTTTTTTTTTTTTTTTATTACACCTTCTAGATGTTTTTTGGTACTATTTGTAGTCCTTAAATGTCATGTGATTACTCTTTCGTTCGACATATGCAAAATTAGCTATGAAAATAAGCAAAATTGGCGCAGGCAAAAGCTAGGGTCCACGAAAAAAATGTTTGGTTTGAAGTTTTCCAAAATAAAACAAAAATATTTGCCGATATGAAAAACAACCTACAAACATATATCATAACTTTTATAGAGTTTAAAAAATTTTTAGTTTACAAAATTGTATCATTTTCATATTTATGGATTTAACGCCCTAGTTTACTATATAAAAAATTAAAGCAATTTGCTAAGCGTGTTATGCGCTCAAACGGCGGTGAATGTCGTCGTTAACATGACAAAAGGACCTAATAGGCAATTTTTATTTTTATTATTTTTTTTTATATATAAATTAAGCTAAAAGCTGGAATGCAACTCTGAAGCAAACTTGCTGTTTGGACCGGTATGTATTTGAACAAAATTTTTCCGAAAAAAGTCACATGGGCCCTTTTGTAATACTGATGACGACAGCATGAGCAAGTCCAAACATGTGCATATTGTTTGGCCTACGCTCCGCAAAATGATGGCCACTTAAATGGGCAAAAAAAAAGCCTTTGGTTGCAGCTCGTATTTATTAGATATAATTAATTAAGCATTATGTGTCGTCACAATATATATATATGTATATATATATATATATATGTGTTTATATTGATTATAAGCTACGAGTAATTTATCGAAAATAAAATCTCAAATGTATATCAACATTCCTTTGTGTATAGCAAAATATACATAGTATGTATGTATGTAGATAATAATTCGAGTTAAAGTGTTAAAAAAAAATATTCGACACTTACGGAACTGTTTGTCTGATGGTGTTCTCGATGTTGCTGTCTGAATACAGGCCAATGGGAGAGTTGAATTGTTTGTGGAATACCTGTAAGGCGACAAAATAGTTGGATGTAGTCATGCTACTTATGTATGTATGTATATATGTATGTAGGTGTAAAAGTCGGCTTCGGCCTTACCCTGCCAGTATCGGCATCCTGGCCAACTACTTTGTGCAACATGGTGTCGGCGACGCGTTGCTTCATCACGCTGTCATGGAAGTCGTGGCCGGGATGAGCGCGCACAGCCGGATTCGGGTGATACCTCAAGTATGATTCTGTGGTTGGAGCATCCTTCTTGACTTTAGCACCAGGCAGAACCAGTGGAGTTGTTCGGTATGGCTGCATTAAAAGAGAAAGATATTATTTTTTAAAGTTTGTCATTAAAATGGAGGTGCCTTAGTGCAAATTGTTCACTATTATTGTTTTATTGATAACAGTGCAAAAATGTACGTATGCAGGTAATTCTAATTAATTCCATTTGAATACATGTTACAAACATTTTATTGAAATTTTTAGAATAAATAAAAAAAAATATCTCCCACCCTAGCCCCTGTCTTTGAGCTTAATTCCCCATGAGGAATAATAATAATAATATTTTGAAGCTAATACTTTGTCTAAGTGTTTGGCCGAGCTTCTTCTCCAAGGTAGAGACCTACAGTTTTACGCCTCCTCCAATGGGTAAATGGAGAAAAAACCTTTTCTCTCTTGGGATATTTCTTTGACCAGGGATCGAACCTTGGTACCGCGGAGCTACCACTCTGCACCTCTAGCCACAGCGACCCCATGAGAAAGCTCGTCAGAAAAAAACAGCTGTTTGTAGGCGGCATTTGTTTGACACCAAGGCTCACGCTACTATTGGAGGATGACAACTGGGCGATATTAAAGGACCGCCTTCTTATGATTGGCTTGGAATGGTATGAAATGTTGGTAGGCAAAATTTTTAGAAAAAGTTTTGATATACAATTTTGTAGCCCATTCAATTCTAGTATAATAAAGTGTAATTTCAAGTGGTTAGAAAATACCGTTAATTTTTGACAATTTTTTTTTTTTTTTTTGGTTGACGATGCTAGGCATTCTCTTTGAATAAAAAATTGTCGAGCACACTTTGTATGGGAAAAAATGCGTGACACCGTCAGCAAAAAAAAATAATCTTAAAAATCAACGGTATTTTGTAGCCAATCGAAACTTGCTCTTACCAAAAATGTTTCCAAAAATTTTGAATAAAAAGTTTGAAAATTTGGTGAAAATTTTTCGAAATTTTATAATTTTTGTTCAAAGTTTAAAAAGGGGATTTATATGGTGTTTGTTGTATAACTAAATACCTAGGCTTTTATAAAAAAATATTAAACATAAAATAAACTAAAGAAATATAGCCAAAACTCTTCAAAGTATGACGAGTCTATTATGTACATATGTATGTATTTCTCAACTAAAAAATCAGATACGAAAACTCCTATGAATTGATTTACGCAAAAAAAAATCGGCCAAAAGTTTTTTTTTTTTAGTTTTTCCCCTTTTAAAGACGGTGTGCGATATGCATTTAATTTTCTGATTTAACTGCTATGTATAACTAACATATGAAGCAGATGTAACAGTTAAAAAAAAATTAAATTCTTTTACTCTTCCTAAAAAACAAATCGAATTGCGGCCTTATTGCTTTGATTCTGCGATATGAGATATGTATCTGCATATGTACAAAGAACGATTTCATTAAATGTCTGCTAAAAAAATACGAAGTAGAAAAATACATCTAAGCACATATGTTTGTGTTCCGATAGATTAATTTTCATGCATTGCCATGTATAAATACAAATATAAGTATATACATAAAGATACAAATATGTTCTAGAACAAAATTTCTAACAATATGTACATATCGCACACCGTCTTCAAAAGAGCCACAACTCAAAATTTGGCATTTTTGAGATTATGCGCGAAATTTTTCCGCAGAGCTTTTATTTACCTTTCAGCAAAAGCTGTATCAAATTTTTGTTCCAATTTGTAAAAAAAAAAACCCTAAGGTAAAGTCGCCCTGCGCATATGATTATCATGCGCTAAGAAATATCGTATTTTCGCATTTTCTGAGAAACGTGTAATTTTGAGTTGTGACTCTTTTGCAAACGGTGTGCGATATGTACTATGTAAGGCCTTTAGGTTTTTTATATGCGATTTTAAATAGTTTGCGTTTGTAGTATATTTATCCGTCTATTTGAAATTTCTCTCGTAATTTGCTCTCCTTCGTTTGCTCTTTGGATAGATGAATTCTATGCGGAGATATGTTCGTTTTGTATTTATAGTAGCTTACGTAATTCTGAAAATCTGATGCAGCTGTTGGCAGCAAAGAGTTCAGTATGCAAAGAGCAACAGCAGAAGTAAAGTAAAAATGTATGAAAATTCAATACGAAATAAAAACTGAAATTTAGAAATACAAATACGTAGGTAAAGATCTGGTTAACCAAAGCACTGCGTTAAGGGCTACAGTTACTGCCATCATTTGATGCACCCTGTGCTGAGTTATATGGCAACCTTATTGACAGCTGGTTTCCGATGACAGCTGTCATGTAATTTGGCGCCATATCATCGGATGCTTGGTTTGCATGTAAAATTCATCGAATTTGTTGAGAAGACTGACTTTTAGTTTATTTTACTAAATTATTCTATAAACGTTTTTTTTTAATTATGACTACAGTGCGCCGTTCAACTCGTCTTAGCAGCATTGGCCAATCTACGTGTTCACCTCCAGTTATTAGTTCTCAAACACCTCGCAGTTCACAGCTGTGGCGTCGCCGCCAAGCGAAGAATTGCGTTACAAGCAGTGACGAGGAGGAAGTGAATACGAGTAGAAAATCACCTACGTTTGCAGAAATAGATAAAGAAAATTCGGAAATTCTCAACGTTATGAGCAAAGAAAAAAATAGAAATCAAACGAAGTGCAATCAGTTGACGACAAATGTCCAGGAACAGAAGACACCACGTCGTGCTAAGGTAGTACAATCGGCATCGTCCAGCACTAAATCTGGATTAGCCAAAAAACGCACTAGCCTCTCACATAAATTATGCAATGACGAAAGTGATGATGATTGCGAATTATGGCAAAGAGAACAAGATGTATCGCCACCTAAGCAGGCACGTTGGAAACCAAAGACTCAGGTGATAAGCCCTTCAAGATTAATTGATCGTTTGAGTATAGATGAACGTAATGCTGCTGACACTGATGAAGATGAGGAGTACACATCCGCTGGTGCAGAGGAAGCAAAAGTCGAAACACGTGTTACACCCACTCGCAACAAATACCAAAGTGCACGTCGTGTTTTGAACAGCGCAGAAACACAAAATTTACCTGGGCGAGAACAACAATTGCAAGAGCTAAGAGAATTCTTTCAGGAACATTTACAAGAACAACGATCTGGTAGTTTATATGTGTCTGGACAACCTGGTACTGGAAAAACAGCTTGCCTTTCTTTGCTTTTAAGGTCACCTGAGCTATCCAAAAAAACTGCAATGTGTTTACATCAATTGCACGTCCATTGCCAGCATTAATGGAGTGTATAAGAAGCTGTGTACTGAAATAAAACTTCATCCTTCCGGACGCAGTGAGCGGGATTATTTGGCAGCTGTACAGAATCATTTGCGAACATCGCGTCGCATGCTGCTCATTGTATTGGACGAAATCGATCAGCTTTGCAGCTCCAAACAATCGGTGCTTTATACTATTTTCGAGTGGCCTTCGCTACCAGGAGCTCGACTGCTTTTGGTGGGCATAGCCAATAGTCTCGATCTAACAGAGCGTACACTAATGCGTTTAAATGCACGTTGTGAATTAAAGCCACGTCATATGCATTTCCCTCCTTACAACAAACAGCAAATAGTTGAGATATTTCGGGCAAGGCTAGAAGAAGCTGGCGTGCTGGATATCTTTCCGCCCGTCACACTCCAGCTTTTAGCAGCCAAAGTCAGTGCAGTGAGTGGTGACGTTCGGCGCGCACTGGATATTGGCAGAAGAGTGGCTGAAATAGCAGAACAACAGATGAAATTAGGTCAGCGACAGGTTAATCTTAATAGCTTGGCTTTGGGTAATAATAGCGACGAAAAGACTGAAGAGGGTAAGTTGGTGGCTTCTTTAAAAATATTATTTCTTATTCAAAACTACTTTTTTTCGGCAGTTATCCTTAAACCAGTACAAGTAACACAAGTAGCTGAGGTGTTAAACAAAGTGTATGGTACTTCACAGAACCTTCAAGAGGACATAGAAGACTCGTTTCCACTGCAGCAGAAGATTGCGTTATGTACGCTCATGTTGATGCTGCGTAAAGAACGCAATAAAGACATAACCATTGGACGGCTGCACGAAGTGTATCGACGCGTGTGTCTTAAGCGCAATATACACGTTTTGGATCAAGCTGAGTTTGCCGGACTAGTTGAGTTGGTTGAGACACGCGGCATACTACGAATCATGCGCAAAAAAGAACCACGATTGTGCAAAGTGGTGCTGCAATGGGACGAAGAGGAGGTGAATGGAGCTTTAAAGGACAAACAGCTAATTGCTTCTATTTTAGACGACACTTCCTGCCTTGGAAAATGTTAACACGAAACAAGAAAATCCATCAGATAGTGCATTAGTAAAACCGAATACATACATAAGTAGATAGAAAATTAATATTAATTTATTGAAATAAGATTAAAATCAAATAAGCTCACAACCATACAAATGAATTGAAGCCGTGTGTATTTATCAACAAAAGTGACGAACCTTTAATAAAATGACCAAATATCTTACAAATAAAGTATTTTAATGCATTTGATTTCTATTTTGATCGTACTATTAAAAGAAAGCGTGGAATATTTTTTAAACGAACCAGAACTAATCTCACTCTACGGTACGGTACAATTACGCATTCTATGACGGTAGTATGTCTTCAGGTGACATTTATAATTGTGGCGTTATTCGTAGTGATGCATTTTCTCTGAATATTCGTTGAGTTGCAGTGCACATTTGTTGGTGTGCACATTGTGACCATGAAAATGTAAGTTTTTTAATTTTTTGTTGATGTAAATAATTTTAGATCTTATAAAATGTATTTAAAAACTATAATATAAAAATAGAACTGATGCAGAAAACGTCCTGCCTGAGTTCAGTACAATTGAAAATAAAGAACGGATTTTTCAAATCGGAGACCATTAAATAATACATATGTGTGCATGCATATCGAGGATGTATATATATGAAAATGTGCATGCATATGTATGTTTGTTCATGCAGACGTACATACTTATGCATTATTTATGGTATGTACATTTGAATTGCAAAACAAAGAGCCAAAATTTTCGAACAGATAAATAAACTTGAAAACTTATTTGCGCACATAACTTGAAAAAGTGAAAATTGACGTGACGAAGCAGGTGTCGTCTCAAAATAAATTTGTTTATATTTATTACTGCAACGTATGTATGTATGTATATGGATTTATATGTGTGTGGCCATTAATAATAGAGTAGATATTTTGTATTTACTTATGTACATACAATTGCTATTTACTACATGCAAATACAAATACACACTTGAAAATACATACCTACATACATATGGACATATTTAAATGATGCATTTGCATTTTAGAATTCAGTTTCAATTGTATGATATGTGCATACATAGGTATGTATGTATTTAAAAACAAACACCTTTTTAATGACTGTTTCAGATAAGAAGTTAATTGCAACAAAAGGAAAACTTTTTAATGGAATCAAAAATTTGGTTTAAAGTTAATAACTTTTTACTGGTTACTCGAATATGAGCATGTGCTTCAAAATACTATGAATAAAGCCAATATTCCTTACATTTTCTATTCATTCATGTTTTATACATGATGCCGGACTTTACGTACGACTTTAGAGTTAAATAAATTATGCGAAAATGGAAATCACTTAAAAAAGAAATTGCCGCTGCGTAGCTTTAATACAGTCCTTAGGTGCACTTAGGACATTGGTGTCGGCAAAATCGGTGTAAAGGAGGTCATAACGGACATGAAAAAAATAGAAGTGCGAATCCTGTGAGGTTTTCCCTTCTTAAATATTCTTTAAGTGAAGTCAAATTACGGACAATTACAACCAAATCATATTTAATCAGAAGCAATTCGTTGTTGGTGTAGATATTCATACTATGTACATACAAATGTCACAAACAGCAAACGGATGTTTAGGATCTAAAAACCTATAGAAAAAGGCAAAATAAAATAACGAAAAGGCACTAGAAATAGCAAAAAAAAGAAGAGAAGGCACTAAAAATACAAAAAATTAAAAATAACACTGGTTTACAGGAAAAATATCAACGGACGCCACTATCTAATTCCTATATAGAATTGCTTGCTGATTTCGAAAATCGAGTTAAGTTTTTATTCTATGGATAAGTTATCGAGATATTTTCAGTTGTACATGGCGTATGAGTAACATTCGTTCCTGCTCATTTTTTATACAAAAAATTTTTGCGCCTTTTCATATGACCACATATTACTTCTTGATTTATCAATCGATTTTCTTCTTTATCAGCGTGATTTTTTTGTAACAGAAGAGGCTCTAACACAGCTTTGAATGTACTAAACGTGCGCTCGACGTGAGTTGATACAAGAAACTTTAATATTATCAGGAATAAGGGCTTTCTCCTCGCTATAATCACTTTTTTAAAGGTACTAAAAGCAAAAAAGGCAACAAATATCTTAAAAAGGGCAACTCCAAATGTGTATATATGGAATCTGGGAAAGCTAAATCGTGGACATTCCTAAGCGAATATACTCTATCTCTTTAGCAGAAAAAAAGGCAATTTCCATAAAATCCGTACCCTGGTCACAAATATCTACCAAAAGTAAAATCGTTAAAGTGCCAACGGATTTTATAACAAATAATTTTACGGGAGACTTTCTAGAATCTATAGAGAGAGCGATAATTGTGCTAGAAAATATGAAACCGATATAAATTCAATGCTTTCATTTTCATGTACAAATGCAGGCAGAAAGGCCCCATCTAACATATTTTTGTTTCTTTACAGAGTAGTTATAAAACTTAACAAAAATAAAAGTTCTTCAGTTGCGATTGTTTTCATTGCACTCGGTTATAATACCAACAGAATTATTTGTTATGATATAGTATTAGATTTTAAATTTGATTAAGTCTTCAGTAAGTAATCTACCAACTTTTGTACCCAACTGAATTTTCATTGAAAATGACTTAGGGCCTTTCTACATTAAGGTAACAATATGTATGTATGTATGTTTGTACATTTCTCGGTTTTCTAAAAATAATTTAGGTATACAGTGCTACATACGTGATCGTTTGTTCTAATGATCAATATACATACATTCGCAAAATCATAAATGTTTCAAAATATCACACTTTTTCCTTCATCTCATTCAATTCACCATGGATTTCTTAATTTTCGCTTGTTATGCTTTGGAGAAAGATGTATGTATGTATGTATGTGCACAAGTTTCATAGAGGATAAGCGTCGAATGTTCTGGAACTCCATATGGGCGCGTTGTTTACAACAATTTGTTTTTTTTAATACGCAAAAATGTTTTAAAATAAATAAACATTTTAAATTTTCCATAGTTTTGGGTTTTTGGACGTTAGCCATCTTCGGTAACATGTCTAATTCCATGTGTGCTTACTATACATACATACATACATACATACATACATATGTACGTGCTTAGTAGACGTTGATATAAATCGGTATTAATTTCGTTTGGTAAAGAGTGAAGCTGAAGTTTTTAGCACTTCCGATAACAGTTTTTTTTTCAAACTTTTTAGGCCAGTGGAATGTTAATTTTTTAAATCCTTTAAATCATTTTAATTTGGAAAATATTTTGTTACACTAATATTTTTTTTTAGAAACTCGTTGTAAACAAGTAAGCGTATACATATACATACATACATACCACATATGTATGAATACGATCTGTGTGTTAGTTAGATATTAACTAATATATGTAATTGCGCATTTATTTAAATAAATAAAAAATACTTTGATTTCCGTTAGAGGCGTGGGTGGCTTACTTGATATTGAATGCATTCATTGAGATCCGGTTTGGCCCTATAGTAGTGTGGGGTGCCGTTTTTGAATTGGACGTATTCCATTTTTCTCTGTGGTTTTGTGTGATTTGTATGTGTGCAACTTTTAATTTACAATTTGTCAACGCCCTTTTTTGAAAAAGTAAAAAAAAAAAACAGCAAATATTTAGTTTTGAGAATTATATAACAATTTTTCACTTTTCAATGCAGAATCCACTTTAGTTATATTATAGTATTTATAGTCTATTTGATTTTGCTTTGGTCTATATAATATTTAAGAATAGAGTATGTAATTGGAAAACAAAATAAATATTTATTTGTTTAAAAAAAATCGACCAACTTTTCCGTTGAAACTCTTAAATATTGGAGTAAATGTCGTTTTCACTTGTTCGTCAATTCGTACTCGTTGGTTAGAGATCGTTTGGAATTTTGGCTTTTTATTTTTCACTACTCTTAAACTTCTAAGGATTTGAACTGATTTTTTCAATATTCCGAAAGCAACTGAATTTTAATTTTTCACAAATTGGCGATTTTTTCCACAGCTGCCTGAATTTTCAGATTTTTAGTCGTATTTTTTTTTTTGTATATAAGAGAATATGTGCCAATGTATGCGATATACATACATGTGTATTTATACATGGATAGGTAGAGATATACATATGTATATGTATGTACATGTAGTATGCCAATAACAAAAAAAAAAAACAGCAACAGCAAACAATTCAAAAATATTTGAATCTTAATATTTGGCGTGCCTTGCGAAGCTGCGGAGGCGGGAAGGGGAGAAGAGCGTGTGTGCAAGTGGCCTTTGGGCGACCGACCCACCGCACAGTTGCTTTTGTTGTTACAGCCACACACAAATTACCTCGTCTCGTACATTCCATTGGCTACAGCAGACGGTCATTTAAATGGATTTTATATGTATGTATGTATGTATGTTTGTACATATTTACTCATACATACATACATATGTACATAAGTATATGTATGCATGTGTGCATGTGCAGTAGTAGTCGGTTGTCCCGCCGCCAGAGAGCGTTCGTAAGGCACGATCATTTCATTTCAAAATTATTTTCTATATTACCATTTTGTTTTTAGCGAAAACAAAAACGAAAAGCAATAAACTTGGACTTGTGTATGGCGGCATATTTAGCAGCACCCACGCGCGCCTCTTGCTGCTGTTTTGGCACAAGGCGAGGCACAGCAGTGCGGGGTAGTGGCCAACTGCATGGCACTGAACGAATTTGAAAATTTGGAAAATAAAAACATACATACCGACATACATACATACGTATATATTTTACATTTTCGAGATACGAGAGCAATTCGCCTTAAAGGCCCGATTGGAAACATTTCGAGATATAACGAGAAAATTTTGTCTGAAACTAAATAGCGCTTACATTTTTACTTATATATGTATGTATGTATGTATTTATGTGCATAAGCCTATGCATATAGAGGTTTTTGGAGCCAATGAGACACATACATATCTATGTACCTACATACATATACTGTGTATAAATAGTCTTTTAGTCAGCACGCAGTTGCTGGTTTTCGAGATCTTTATTTAGAGTGCGGCAAAATTTCAGGTTTTCGAGTGCTCGTAATGCTTTTGAATCATTTTCGGCCACACGATTTCCGTTTGGTTTTCAGTTTTCTAAAATAATACACTGACTAAGATGTTTGGCTCGTGAAAACTTTTCCTCTGGGGTGGACGTACATATAT